ATATATATATATATATATATATATGTATATATATATGTATATATGTATATATATATATATGTATATATATGTGTGTGTGTGTGTAGATAAATTCATTGGAAGAAAAAACGGTGTGATTACGTTTAATTGCTTGGAGCACGGAGCAGTGATAGGATTTCCGTCTGCCCAGCAGGGGGCTCCACGTTTGGTTTGATCAAGTTGCCGATCTTAGGTTGAATTGGCTAAAAACCGCTGCGACCCCTCATGAAGGGACAAGCCAAAAGTTATATTATCGATATGCCGATATTGTCCAAACAACTAATGTCCGATTCCGATATCAACCAATACTGATAGAGGCCTGGTAACATTTATTTGTTTATCTGTACAAACCATCGTATAAGTTGCTGGCACCAGTATTCTGCATACAATCCCCTGATTATTGAAATTGATTAATTAATTGAGCTGCAATGCTGCCATCTAGTGACTTTTACTTTAATATACAGCCGTTTATCCCCATATCTATTTTTAGGGCACACATTATTTGGTGAAACCCAGGCATTGCGTTAGGGGCTTTCAATGGAATATGGTGCGCTGGACAGAAGTCTGTAATGCTTGCACGATAAACGTGCGTCCTGTCACTAGGTGGCAGCAACTCATGCGGTGGTTTGTACAGATAAGCAAATACATATTTTCAGGTTCATAATAGTATTTCAATATGAACCACTGTTCTAGTGTCTGAACAGCCAGTTTGAACCACTGTTCTAGTGTCTGAACAGCTCTCGTCCGAACAGAACCCGAATCCACGATATTATTCGTTTTCTCAAGACTATAAAGTGTACAGCTACTTCCACTCGTATCCTTTACCTGGGAAAAGAGTTATGAGCTGAGAAAATCTGTGCATGCGTGTGTGTTCTTCCAGAATGATCTCCTTTATCCTAGTTAAGTTTTCCATCCCCGCTTTATTCAAAAGTTACTCACAACCCGACCGTCCAATCGGCTCACGCGGCACCATCTGAATTCACTTCTGACTATCTCGTCTTTGTCCTTCCGCTCGAACCCCCGCATTCGCACCTCTCGATAAACCCAGAAATGAAACTTGAGTTTCTCCGCAACTCCAAGCCGAAGCTTGGCACTCGCTCTAATTGTGATGAGAGGCGATTGATGTGCAGCAGCTGCATCCTGTGACCGACACTCTGCTCAGCCATTTGTCTCTGTCGTCCGCCCCACCCTCCACCCCCCCACC